TTTTTTTTTTTTTTTTTTTTTGAAGATTGGGGCTTCTTTGAACTACCTTCTACAGACCAAAGGCCTTTCTATCTGAGTAGCTCTCCCTTCCTCTCCCACTGAGAGAGGGGAACTTAGGGGGCATCCTGACTTCTCTAAGAAGCCTTCCTTTGCCAAGAAAATCTCCCTTACAGCACACCAGCTGCTCAAAAAACAAAAATCATCTCAAACTCATGGCATTAGCAAAACTGACCAACTACCTCGCAAACCCCACCCGGGTTGGGTTAAATAGACTATGAAGCTTCTCTAAATGAATAATGTAGTTTCCACTTTAGGGTGGAAGAAGGAAAAGTACTTTGAAAAGACTGAACTTCACATTTTGTGACATAAAACATGCTCCCAGCGGGGACAGAACTTTCAGCACAAGCACGCTCTTGTGCAGGTGAACTGTCACCCCTACCCCATGTCCTGAAGCCTGCAGGGTTGACCACCAACCAGGACAAGATTCAGGGCACAGCCAGCTACATAGAAAGGGCTCCAAGGGATCAGACCCATCACCAATTGTGAAATGACAGGACCTATTTTGGGGCTTCTGGATCCTGCCCCAATGTTTAATGATGATTTGCTTTTTTGTTTTTGAGACAGGGTCTCACTATATAGTTCACACTGATCTTGAACTCACTACACAGCACAGGTTAGCCTTGAACTTACAGGGATCCTCCTGCCTCAGCCTCCAAGTGCTGGCATTACAGGTGTGCATTACCACACCTGGCCATGATCTTTTTTCTTTTTTTTTTGCAGAGGAGAATATTGATGCTCAGAGAAATTCAATTACTTTTCTACAGTCCATGACTGTAGGGCATGGACAGGGCCAAATTCCAGTCCAGGGCTGTTTCTTTTTATGACCCCAGAAGGCAAGAGGGAATCAGTTATATAGACTTTGAAATGAATGAATTAAAAAAATTCCTTGAGGGATGGGGATTTAGCTCAGTTGTTCTGCTGCCTGCCTTGCAAGTGCAAGGTCCTGAGTTCAATCCTTGGCACCAAAAAGAAAGAAAGAAATCTGGGCTGGGGATTTAGCTCAGTGGTTCCACCACCTGCCTCGAAAGCACAAGGTCCTGAGTTTGATCCCCAGTACTGCCCCCCAAAAATTCCTTGAATGGGAAGACTGAAGAAAACAAAGGCATGAAGGGTTAGCAGTGAAGGGAAGCTCCCATTGGTGGTGTTGATTGTTTGGTTGACTTCAGAGGAAAGTTCGGGGAGCAGGGAACTCATTCCCTGAGGTCATGAGCAAGGGGTCCCTGGAGTGGAGTCCATTTACTACTCAGGCCAGGGAGCCCACCAGGATTTGGCCGCCTACTGACATTTGTGCCAGACATTCCCTCTGGTGGGTTGTCCTGTGTGTTACCGCAGCATCTCTGGCCTTGCCTCACCAACAGCCCCACCCCTTGACAACCCAAATGTCCCCGACATTGCTAAAGATCCTAGGGCAGTAGCAGTGAACCTGTGGCTGCGTAGATCACTGATGGCTCTAAAAGGCTCACCGTTAGTGTCCCAGGGGTAGGAGGGGATGTCAACGTTGCCCTCGGTTTAAACAAGTCAGGGAAGATTCACATCAACAGAACTTCCTGGCAGCCATGAAAAAGATTATATTAGAGGAGACAAATTGCACAGACTGCAGGTCTCGGCTCCTCTCGGTTCCTACGAGGGAGGTGGAGGGACACTGAGGGCAGACCCTTTAGTCTAGGACCCCAGAAGCAAGAAGCGGCACTTCAGGGACGGAGGTTATCGAACTGCAGTCACTGTCCCAGGCTAAGAGACCACCAGGCCCACTGCCTGCGTCCGGAGCTCACCAGCTGTGAGTACAGAGGTCTGGGGAACACAGCTTACCTTCCCCGTCACCCCTGGCTCTGTCCAGATGCTTCCTAGGTCCAGACCCCTCTCCAGGGACCCATCTCTCACCAAGTGTTTCTTGAGACCCCCCCACCGGAAACCAGCTTTCCTTTTGTGAGCCCTGGAGTCTGTTTGCAGGATACCAAAGACAGAATTCTAACCCTGCATTCTCTGTTCCTCAGCCCTAGACTGTGGGGACCAGGGGGGTGGGGCAGAGTCTGGCAGGGGTCAGTGCAAGCTGCTTGAACAGAAGGAACTGAAGGAAGGTGAAGGCAGGGTGGGTGGGGCTGACAGGGATGAGGCTCCCAGGGAACTTCATCACCAAGGGGCTGGGTCCACAGATGGCCGGAGGTTTGTCTGACCTCCGCTGAGGGTCACAGTTGGAAGAGCCCTAGGTAGGGCCCTTCCTGACCAGGCGTGCTGGCCCCATATAAATGCTGCAGACGCTGAGGGGAGACAGGACATGGGACGTTCACAAATCGGGACAGGCCCCAAGGGCTGGGAAAACCCCCACAGGAGTGGCTCAGGGTTCTCAGACATCAGCTGGTCCTTCACCCCCACTGTCACATAGGAGCGAGGTACTAGAGGTCACTCGCTCTGATCGCCAGGTGGACGGCGGAGCTTACTTCACCCCTGGCCTCCTGGGTCCCCACTCTCGTCTGGAAGAGCTCCCCAGACAGAAGGGACTCGGTGCTTCTGTGAGAGCCCCATTCCCCACCGCTACAGGACTGGGTTCTTTGCTGGAAGGGTCTCGAGCACTGTTGGGGAGAACTCCGGAGGCTGAGGCAGGGGAATTCCAAGTTCAAGCCCAGCCTGGGCAATCTGGTGAGATTCTATCTTTAAAAGAAAAAAGTTCAAAAAGGGGCTTGGAATATAGCTCAGTGTGAGGAAGGCTTTGAGTTCAACTCCCAGCATCAAGAAAACAAACTCTGTAGGAGGCCAGCTGCTTCTAAGTACCAACTGCCGAGGGCTGCTGTGAGAACCAGCAGGAAAACGATTCCAGCAGGGCCTGGCTCGCAGCAGCAAAGTTTTTGTCGTGATTATTATTTTCTGGAGGAGCCTATAAAAAACCAAGCGAGGACTCAGTCCCTGTGAAAAGGAGGGGGTGGCCCTTGTTTCTAGGAAAACCCAGTCAGCACTTTACAGAAGGGGGACTGGCTGCAGAGGGGACGACACCTCAATCGGTGGGTGTGGCCGATGAGCGGGAGGCGTCGCCCCTCGCTCCCCAAGTACGTCGGTCTGACCCTTCGGATCCTGCCAGGGAGTGCGCCCGGGAGCCGGAAGGTGAGCTGGTCTCCACTCCGAACGGTACCCAAGCCCCGGAGGGCGGGAGTCGGAGCGAAGGGTCAGGGACAGGACTCCGGGGCGCCCCCTCACCCGGGTGCCCTCGCGGCCCAGCCCCGGCCTTTGGCCCCTCACCGTCAGTCTGAGTCTCGCGATCCACCAAGGGGACCCCTTGTGCCTGG